GCCAAAGAGACAATTTGATTATCAAAAACAAACAAACAAACTGTAACTAAAACCCATCAAACTATTTAAATTATGATTAAAACCCACCACATTTCTGTTTATTCAGCACATAATATTAAGTTAGAAACTGTAACCTTTGGAAAAGTGTTGCTCAAGGAAATGTCCCATTTTCAGGAGGAAGTAACCTTTTCAAAATAAAAATAATATTTTTCAAGTGGCCAAAAACAATTTGGGGGTTACAGATAGACAGATAAAAACAGTAACAGTTTCGTATCCCATGTTTTGGCATCTTCCCCAACTTCCTACAACAGATGTTCACAGGTAGTTTCTAAAAAACTAGGAAGGAAAACTGTTCCAAAGCTCTTTAATTTTCCACCAACTTCCTTCACAGTAAGTACCTATACTTGTACTACTAAAATCTCTCTCAAGCTGAAAACACAAAGGTCACGTCAAGTTTTTAAAAATAAAGAATAGCTTAGGCTATCAATGACTTTATTCCATAAACAAAGTTTCATTCCTTCTGTTAATTATCCACCGTATTGATGAAAATAAAAACAGAACTATGAAATTCTTATCTTAAGCAACTCATTAATCAGAGATATGACTTGCTATTCTTTCAAGTTTCGTTCTCTTATGTTATAACCTTAGAAGTTAGATAAAGCTCAGTTTAGTCATAAATGAATTGCAGAAACTCTGCAAATTTTGTATCAAAAGTTAAGGCATGAGACATTCCAAGCTGGTGGCAGACTGAGTGGAAGCTACACTGACACTCTCCCAGGACCAAACTGGACTTACAATTAAAATAGAGAAAAACCATCCTGAATAATCAACTGAAGACTAGCTGGACAGCACCCTCATAACCAAGGACCTAAAGTGGAGATGGCATAGAGACTGGTAGGAAGTGTGGAGGCCCTAGAGGGCTGGCTGGGCTCCCACAGGCAGCAGCTAAAGGTCCAGAGGGATATCTCAGCTGTGGAGGGTTCCCACTGAGAACTCTGGGGCCTGAACCCCAAGCTGTGCTTCCCAGCCCAGAGCACCAAAATTGAGAAAGGTGCCCAAATAACATCTGGCTGCGAAATCAGCAGGGGTTTCTGCTTGGAAAAACAGAACTTGATGGATGTGCATCTTAGTCCTTTCCAAAGGTACCCAGCCTCAGCAGAGGGAACTACAAGCTGTGGAGTGCTGAAAGTGTCAAACAGGGTACTCAAGACCAGTCACAAATATTGTCTGACATTGGCCTGCAACCAGAGACCATCCAAAAGACTAGGAGTCCTAGCCTATCTACCTAATACATAGAAACAAATTCAAACAGACAGCCAAAATGTGGAGACCAAAAAAAAAAAACAAGCCCCAAATAAAAGAATTCACCAGAAGAAGAGAGAAATGAAATGGAGATAAGCAATCTCTCAAATATAGAGTTGAGAATAATGATCATGACGATGCTCAACAGCATGAGAAAAGAAATGGAAACTGAAGGAAATTAAGATTGACAGAGTAGAAATAAAAAATTAAAAAAAACACACTGGAAGGAATAAACAGCAGATTAGTGGAAGCTGAGGATCAGATGAGTGAAGTAGAAGACAGGGTAGGAAAAAATCAATCAGAAAACCAAAAAGAAAAAAAAACAATTAAAAAACAGGAGGACAGTTTAAGGGAGCTGTGGGACAACATGAAACATAACAATATTCACATCATAGGAATGCCAGAAGGAAAAAAAGTACGCAAGAGATAGAGAACCTACTTGAAGAACAATGGCAGAAAATTTCCCTAACCTGGTGAAGGAAAAAGTCACACAAGTTCAGGAGGCACAGAGAGTCCCACGCAAGAAGAATCTAAAGAAACCCATGCCCAGACATAATTTTGGCATAATTAAAATGCCAAAAATTCAAGACAAAGAATCTTAAAGGCAGCAAGAGAAAAGCAGTCTACCTACGAAGGAGCTCCCATAAGGGCGTCAGCTGATTTCTCATCAGAAACTCTACAGGTCAGAAGGGAATGGCATGAACTATTCAAGGTAATGCAAAACAAGGATCTGTAACCAAGACTACTCTATACAGTAAGGCTTTCAAAATAGATGGTGAAATGAAGAGCTTCCCAGACAAAAAAGAAAAAGGCTAAAGGGGTTTATCACCACCATACCAGCACTGCAAGAAATGTTCAATGGACTGCTGTAATAATAGGAAGAAATAGAGAGAGAAACATAGGCATAAAGAATTAAAAAGGCAATAGGTAAGTACCTATCAATAATAACCTTATATATAAATGGACTAAATGCTCCAATCAAAGGACACAGGGTAGCTGAGTGGATAAGAAAACAAGACACAAATATATGCTGTCTACAAGAGACCCATCTCAGAACAAAAGACTCACACAGGCTGAAAAAAAAACTTCTGGAGGACTTTAAAGGAGAGATCCACAGCACTACAGTCATAGTAGGGGACTTTAACACCCACAGACTTTACTGGATAGATCTTCCACACAAAAAAAATCAACAAGGAAACAGTGACTCTAAATGACACACTAGATCAGATGGATTAAATTGACATTTACAGAACATTCCACCCCAAAGTTGCAGAATATACATTCTCCTCAAGTGCACATAGGACATTCTCAAAGATAGACCGCATGTTAGGACACAAAACAAGCCTCTACAAGTTCAAGACTGAAATCAAATCAAGCACCTTCTTAGACATTTACACCATGAAATAGGACCTGAAGAGTATTATGCTAAGCAAAATAAGCCAGTCAGAGAAAGACAAGTATCACATGATCTTACTTATATGTGGAATTTAATGAACAAAATAAAACAATGAACAAAACAGATCCAGAGACACAGAAGCG